ATCTGACATACTTTGAATTTATTTCTTTAAACATTATTTTAATGGATATATTTTGTATGATAAAAGCAAAAAAGGCCGGTAGATGTAAATAATGTTTAATGATAAAAACAGAGCATCTACTCAAATATGAGTATCCATTAAAAATAACGTTCAAACACATAAAGCATATATATATATATATATATATATATATATATATATATATATATATAGTTTAGTTTAGTTATGAAGAACTTGGTAATCCGTATGGGTAATCCCAAGGAGGATGAAATCCTGAGAGCTCAATGTAAATCCAGAGCTAATATTTAAAAGAAAAACAGACCACTTTAAGGTACCATTATAATAATTTATTTCACCAGAGTCCTTTTAAAGGACGCCAGATCATCAGATATATATATATATATATATATATATATATTATGAGTATCTATTATATTACCATCCATACATCCACAGGAAACTTAGTTGTGAGCAAGAGTGACATCTCAGTACTGTTTGTCTTATATTTTGTATTTTCTCTGTTTTGTATATATTTTTTATATCTTGTATTGAGCACTGTATTTATAGTGTCTTTGAATTCTGCTTTTATTATACAATATATATATATATATATGTGTGTGTGTGTGTTTGTGTATTGTGGTAAGTAAATCTCTGTACAAACAGTTGTCATACATTCTTGTGAATTAGTCGACTGCTTTCACAAAATTGCTATTTAAAATTTTGATTTGTTTTTACTTATATTTAATTTTCCTTTTTTTTCTTTCTAAGTTTACCGTGACAAAAGTGGCCTGGTTTCTATGGTTTTGGGCAATAAATAAATAAATAAATAAATAAAATAAAATAAAATAAAACATTAAAAAAGCCCAAAAAAAAAAAAACCTCCTGTGTTAGTATATAATGAAATACGTTTGAAACGACTCAACCCTATCTTTCGGGCGAAGAAAGAAATCGTTACCCACGATACGCACCACTCCACAATGACTATAATGCTTTTGTTGCTAACATTGCTTTTACTAATACTACCAATGATGATAATGGTAAAAATCCCTTCAGGAGACATTACAAAAAAAAAAAAAAAAAGGAAAAGCAAAATAGAAAAGAAAGATGGTAAAGAGGAATTCGGAATAGAAACAAGGCTAAGTAGAAAAATATTACTTATATAAAATTTTCTTTTGTAACTCTAAACAAGTTCAGTTCATTAAAAACACGTAAAATGTTTTATCTGAAACGGGACATATATTTTCAACAGATTATTCTTTAGGCGAGTATAGGCTGCAGCCAAGGTTTTAGAGACAGGTTTTCAATTAGGAAGCAGGTTAGGGCCCAATGATAAGTTATCCGTTAGGCTAGTATAGGCTTCAGCCTAGGTCCCGGGGCCAGGTTATCCTTTAGGCTAGTATAGGATGCAGACTAGAGCCCAGCAATAAGTTATCCGCTAGAACACAGGGCCAGATTATCCTTTAGGCTGGTATAGGATGCAGCCTAGAGCCCAGAGCCAGGTTTACATTCAGGCTAGTATTGGCTGCAGCTTATAGCCCAGTAATAAGTTATCAAGCTAGTATAGGTTGCCGCATAGGTCCCAGTTTCAGATTATCCTTTAGGCTAATAGGGCATGCAGCCTAGGGCCCATTATTAATTTATGCGTTTGGTTAGTATAGGCTGCTGCCTAGATCCCAGACCCAGATTATCCTTTAGCCTAGTATAGGCTGCAGGGTAGGGCCCAGTGATAAGTTAGTCGTTAGGCTAGCATAGGCTTCAGCCTAGGTCCAGGCCCAGATTATCCTTTAGTCTAGTATAGGCTGCAGCCTAGGGCCCATTATTAATTTATGCGTTTGGCTAGTATAGGCTGCTGCCTAGATCCCAGACCCAGATTATCCTTTAGACTAGTATAGGCTGCAGGTTAGGGGCCAGTGATAAGTTAGCCGTTAGGCTAGCATAGGCTTCAGCCTAGGCCCCAGACCAAGATTACTCTTTAGTCTAGTATAGGCTGCAGCCTAGGGCCCAGTGATAAGTTAGTCGTTAGGCTAGCATAGACTTCAGCCTAGGTCCCAGGCCCAGATTATCCTTTAGGCTAGTATAGGCTGCAGCCTAGGGCCCAGTGATAAGTTAGTAGTTAGGCTAGCATAGGCTTCAGCCTGAGTCCCAGGCCCAGATTATCCTTTAGTCTAGTATGAGGCTGCAACCCTAGGGCCCAGTGATAAGTTAGTCGTTAGGCTAGCATAGGCTTCAGCCTAGGTCCCAGGCCCAGATTATCCTTTAGTCTAGTATAGGCTGCAACCTAGGGCCCAGTGATAAGTTAGTCGTTAGGCTAGCATAGGCTTCAGCCTAGGTCCCAGGCCCAGATTATCCTTTAGGCTAGTATAGGCTGCAGCCTAGGGCCCAGTGATAAGTTAGTAGTTAGGCTAGCATAGTCTTCAGCCTAGGTCCCAGGCCCAGATTATCCTTTAGTCTAGTATAGGCTGCAACCTAGTGTCCAGTGATAAGTTAGTCGTTAGGCTAGCATAGGCTTCAGCCTAGGTCCCAGGCCAGGCCCAGATTATCCTTTAGGCTAGTACAGGCTGCAGCCTAGGGCCTAGTGATAAGTTAGTCGTTAGGCTAGTATAGGCTGCAGTCTACGTCCCAAGGACAGGTTATACTTTAGGCTGCAGCCTAGGACGCAGGCTGAGGTTATTTGAAAACATGGTTTTGCTAGATACCCTGTCGTACGTGTGTACTCGGGAGCGAGTCATTAAACTAGCGAGAAAAAACAAAAACAAAATGGATTTTGCAGTTCCGTAAGATCGCAGATTTGATCTAAAAGAAACTGAAAAGATAGTAAAGGTTCTTGACTTTGCCGGAGCACAGAAAATGTGGGATATGAAGTTGACAGTCGTGCCGGTTGTTATCGGAGCACAGGAAACATCTCTGAAGATTCTAGGGAAAATTAGATGAGCTGGAAATTATGGAAATAGCTGGAATCTCCAGACGACTGTAGTGTTGAAAACAGCGAGAATAATGAGGAGACTGCTTGGGTGTTGAATGTGCTTGCTATCGCTTGATGTCCGATGAAAACTACCAGTGGTAAACGTCAATGAGAACAAAATAATCATAGAAGTCATAGGCTGAACTAAAAACATCCAACTGACATTATTATTAAAAACTGCTACGATACTGGGGAGAGTGCTGGAATGTTGAATGTCTTTTGATTTTTCTTGATCTCCGATGAAGGCTACAAGAGGCAAACGTCAATGAGAACAAAATAATCCTAGAAATCACAGGCTGAACTTCCAGTTCATCTAGTTGATAGTATTATTGAAAAAAAAGCTAGAATACTTAGGAGAGTGCTGAAGAATTGAGAAGAATGGTATCACTTAGGATCCAGCGTAGGCCAACAAGTACTTCTCTAGTGAATACTCACAGAGTGAATAATAATAATAATAATAATAATAATAATAATAATAAGAAGAAGAATAAGAAGAGTTATAACATATTTTAGTCTAAATCGTTTTTAGAAAAATGCACAAAAACAAAAAAGTTGTTCTGACACTTGAACAAAGCCGGTTTTGAAGTAATTATAGAAAGTGCCGTCAATGCGTCGAGGCGAGGAAGATTGGAAAATACCAATAAGTTCCACGTTAAACAAATAGTAAGATATATAAACATAATATATATATATATATATATATATATATATATATTTATATATATTAAAAGACATTTTATGTTTAACGTTCTTTTTATAGATACAAGTATTTAAGTAAATGCTCTGTTTATAATAAACAGTATTAAATGACATTTACCGGCCTGAATGTCCGAGAAATTTTTCATAGAAAATATTCGTCCTTTGAAAAATTATTGTATGAAAAATTTCTTGGACATTCAGACCGGTAAATGTTATTTAATACTGTTTATTATAAACAGAGCATTTACTTAAATACTTGTATCTATAAAAAGAACGTTAAACATAAAATGTGTTTAATAAATAAATTGTCGGCTTTGTCCATTTCTTAATATATATATATATATATATATATATATATATATATATATATATATATATATATATATATCTATGGGCTGATGATTGTGTTTAGCATGAAACAGTCCGTCGCCTCTGACTAATGACTTCACTGTTCACTTATATAAATAATTTACATTGAGCACTATTTTGTAAAAATAAAAATATCTATAAGAACACCGGATTATATATCTTACTGTTCTTTCTTTATATATATATATATATATATATATATATATATATATATCTCGGAAGTATGTCCGGAAAGTATCCAGCCTTTTAATATTATGGGCTGGAGAGAAGATGAGGAAAAAAAAGAAAAAAAAAAGAAAGAAAAGTAGTCTATCTAGGATAATTATTTCAGGTCAATCTACAAATGTTACTGGTACCTAGTAACTCAGTGCGCCATAATGCATAGTGGAGTGTATCAGCGTCTAAACTAGGTTCCTCTCCTAGTTTTTTTTCTTTTTTTCTTTTTTCTGGCGAGTACGGCCAGACAGCCACCATGATTTAAATAGAACCTGTCAAAGTGCGGATGAACTTTATTTTAGGCCCCGCCACCATCTCGTACAGTAGGGTAGACTGGTCTTTATAGCTATGTATTCAGCCAGTGCATTGATGACGCGGCATCGTTGGGCGGAGTGTTTCCTAGACTGAAGTCAACGGTGGCCGGGGGGTGGGGATTGCTCGATGAAACCAGCGGCCATATGTTCGTGATCAAGGCGAGCCTTGAAACTGAAAAGATAGTAAGGATTTTATGCGTTTTATTCTCTACGACAGAGAATGTGTACATATTTGCACAGTTCACAATAGATTACCCTTCCCATCCACTCATGCCTATTCTTGAATTTCTTATAGGGTCAAATTAATCCATTCGTTGATAATGTAGTTCACTGTATGCCGCTTTCATATTTCATTGTCTAAAGTCTAATGATAGGGAACAGGAAGAAAGAAAGTGTCATGTGGCTGTTTTCGTTCACATAGCCAGTAAAAACTTTCTAATATGGTCACTACCTTTCTAAGAAAAAACATCCTTTTTCTTCCATCTCGGGTAAAGGACTTGGTAAAGGGATGTATCGAACAAGAGCAAAAGTAATATTTTCTTTTTTAATCAATTCAAGGCGATAATGCCACTAAGACGCAACGAGCTATTGGAGGTAAAAGAGAATGAAAAGACTTTAGAAGGTATCGGAAATCCAGTCCTAAACAGGAAAGAAGAGATAAACTTCTACTCCTGTCTAAAAAAACGAAGAGGAGAGAGAACCGGGCGACAGGCGAATCTATCTACTCCTATTGAGAAAAAAGAAACAAATAGTTGGAGGATAGCTGATCGAAATGTTGTGAGTATGGCAATGAAGATGAGTATAACAGTTTGAATAATGTAAATAATGCTAGTATACATAATACATCATGCATAATCATAATACATAATACATAAATTATGCTAGTAATCATAATACATCATCTCAGAGATATAGACAAGAAGTGTCCACTATAATAACGTTTGAATTAATAAAAGAACGTATATACATGTGTGTTGTAACCTAGGGAAGGTTTCTGAATAGAATAATCACACGAAGGTTGGTAATAAACGATAATACTTAGGTCAAGAACAACACATATAAGATTCGCCAGCGGCGCGTAGAAGAAGTAGTCAACTGTTAGAAGTGAGTCAAATGAATTCCATAATGAATCTCCAGCTGCAGGATATCTACCAACCGCCCCACGCGGTCAGATGTGGCACAAAGCCGAATTTAACGTGGGGTATCCGAGCCCGTAGGCTCGGGCAAAAATTCCCCGTAGACCCCGTAAAAAATGGGGTCGGGTAGCTGTCTACCACCCCAGATGAGACTCTGCTCTTCGGCATAGCCTCGTTTGGGGATCCTCTTTGCCCGGAGACAGAGAGTTTGACCAGCACAGCTGGAAACGAATCTCCCACTCTAGACCACGTTCAGTATACACTAGTGAATTTATGGGAATGGGGGCATACCCATTATCGTCCTTAGGTATGGTACAACAATGTGCATATACATATGTACTTACGTGCACAATGTACACGCGTATACAAATACATAAACGCTCAAGGCCCTTCGACGTGGTGTGATGGTTAGTAATAAGAAGAAATTGAAGCAAACAAAACAAAGCAAAAAAATATCCCGAAATAATTATAATACAAAATGATATTTGAGACGATGTAGTTCAGGGCTACGTAGAAATTGACAATAATCCCGAGGAGAGTGCTGGAAAATACTTATCATCTAATCTCCAGTGATAACTGCCTGATACAGGGCTTGAACCTGCAGATATAGCAATCTGGTAACTAAAATAAACTCTGCAACTATTGTGCTTGTTGAATTCTCTTTCGGCTTCTTAATCCCTAGTCAACTTTGATCTTTAAAAATTTAAATGCAATTCCAATTGTTATCCTCCGTATAGTTAATTGCTGTTTTATTATTCTTCTCTTTTCTTAATAATGTTTTTCTTGTTCTCATAATCTCTCACACTCAGTAACCACTTGAGTCTTAGTGGCTTTATTGCCTTGCTTTTGCTGAAATTATCATTATTCCATCAAAAGCAAAGCAATAAAGCGGATACTGAAGAGAGTGATAATAGATAATAATAATAATAATAAAAATAATAATATTGATATGGCAGTCCCTGCAGACTGCAATGTATCTTTGAAGATATTCAAAAAGCTGTCAAAATACAAGGACCTTGAAATAGAAATCTCGAAAAAGTGGCATATGGGAACATCAAAAATCCCTGTTGTAGTTTGAGCCCTAGCTCTGGTTGGAAAAGATTGCAGTAGACTCATTGAAGGGATTCCTGGAAGTCCATGCCTCAAAGAGATACAAAAAAATTGTTCTGACAAGTACAGCCCACACTTTACGAAGGACTTTATCTATGTAATTTTTTTTTTTTTTTTGTCAGTGGAAAGTGTCATGCTGCCATTTCTAACCTTAGGTCCCTGGGCGGGACCCGGAAAGAAATGTGTAAACGCCAGAAATCAAAGAAAATAATAATAATAATAGACGTGGTTACGGAGATAGGAGTTTGTTGTAACGTATAATAATAATAATAATAATAGACATGGTTACAGAGATAGGACCTTGCTGTAACGTATAATAATAATAATAATAATAATAATAATAGACGTGGTTACGGAGATAGGACCTTGCTGTAACGTATAATAATAATAATAATAATAGAGGTGGTTACGGAGATAGGACCTTGTAACGTATAATAATAATAATAATAATAATAGACGTGGTTACGGAGATAGGAGTTTGTTGTAACGTATAATAATAATAATAATAATAATAATAATAATAGACGTGGTTACAGAGATAGGACCTTGCTGTAACGTATAATAATAATAATAATAATAATAATAGACGTGGTTACGGAGATAGGACCTTGCTGTAAAGTATAATAATAATAATAATAATAGAGGTGGTTACGGAGATAGGACCTTGTAACGTATAATAATAATAATAATAATAGACGTGGTTACGGAGATAGGACCTTGTTGTAGCGTATAATAATAATAATAATAATAATAATAATAATAATAATAATAATAGATGTGGTTACGGAGATAGGACATCGCTGTAACGTATAATAATAATAATAATAATAATAATAATAATAATAATAATAGACATGGTTACGGAGATAGGACCTTGTTGTAACATATAATAATAATAATAATAATAGACGTGGTTACAGAGATAGGACCTTGTTGTAACGTATAATAATAATAATAATAATAATAATAGACGTGGTTACGGAGATAGGACCTTGCTGTAAAGTATAATAATAATAATAATAATAATAGACGTGGTTAGGGAGATAGGGCCTTGTTGTAACGTATAAAAAACAAAGAGAAAAAGGTATTTGCTTCAGGTCAAAAGCTCAAATTGTAAGAATCTGCAAATCGACGTAACAAAAATGTGGAAACTTAAAACTACGATTATCCCTGTTGTTATAGGGGCCTTGGTTATGATGGGCACTGAAAATCATGTGAGTGAAATTCTTGGACACTTCAGTATCACAGAGCTACAAAAGATTACTTTGTGTAAAACTGCATATATCATCCACAAAACCCACTCCATCCCAAACGTGCATAGATAACTATTCTACTGGGCCCTTTTTACTCACAGTCCCCGGGGTGGATTTGGTATTTACGCACTCAAAAACAACTCACTGGCAAGATGATACCACATGCAATAATAATAATAATAATGATAATAATAATAATAATATTAATATTAATAATAATAATACTAATTCTTGCCGGAGGTCTCTGACTGAGACCGAGGAGGAAATGTCTATATCACAGAAATCAAAGGAAATAATAATAATAATAATAATAATAATAATAATAATAATATTGAAAAAAAAATTCCTAAAAATTCCCGCTTAAGAGAAATACAAAAAATTGTCTTGATAAGTACAGCCCACACACTAAGAACTTTGCCCATGTAACGCTATTGATGTTATGTTAGTTAGAAAAACAAATCATGAAATGTAGCCACAAACCACTACCTGCCTTAGGTCAATCCTGCAGACTTGGTAGGTAGTTTGACCATAGCAGATATCGAAATAGAATAATAATAATAATAATAATAATAATAATAATAATAATAATTTACCACAAACTTTACTGAATGAAGAGTGTACCATCCTCTGGAATTCCAGCATTTAGACTAGTGAGGAAATCCAAGGAAATTCAGGCAAATCAGCAAGATATAATTGTAAAAAAAATCCTATTGAAAATACATGTCTCCTGATATATGTTGCCGTCCCAATCGAAAAAACAACAACACATCATTGAAAGCATCTGTGAAACGATATAAATACAAGGACCGTAGGATATAAAACAGTAGAATGTGGCATCCAAAGACCAAAAATTTATTTATTGCTATTGTCAGCCGATTACTGCATAATGTTTCCTTAAACTTTAACAGTTTTTGCCTAAACTACCTTGCTGGCTAATGACAGGGCTGATAAAATTTATATTTTACGTATTCCCCTCCCTAAAAAAGATGAGGGACATGCACTAATGGGATAAATAGTTTCAGCATCCTAGTTTAGTAGGAGTTGATTAAAACAAAAAGGCATGGAACTGAATTATTTCATAATTATTAAATCCAGAGTGTGGTTCTAAACTTTTGGCCTATATAGTGTACACATACACAGACACAGACACACAGACACACACACGCATATATATATATATATATATATATATATATATATATATATATATATATATATATATAGTCCAGATGGACTTAACCACAGATAAAACACAGATAGAAATAATATATAATCCCATAGATCAACCCCCACTCAGATTTCTCAACCACACTAAACAGATATGCTTGCAGAGGTGTTGAGGTCTCCCACATATAAACATTCACACAAGTGTATACACATACACACATCACTCACACTCCTCCAAAACTAAAAGATAACATACACTTAACGCACACACATTCCCTTCCCAGCAACCAATAAAGCTGTCAAAATGACTAAGGAGGGAATTCTGAGACTCAGGAATCTCCTAGCCTATATTTAAAAAAAAAAGAAAAAAGAAAAAAAAAAGAGGCTTTTTAACCAATACAAGGACTGGTCAAAATTAACGATAAAAAACAAATGAAAACTACAAATAAAGTTCACTTTCTTTAAAGACAGTTATTCACTCCTGTAGTTCACTGCTACTAAGAAGAAGGCATTTTTTTCCTGATGATGGCCATGCTAGCCGAAACTAGTCGTGGAACATAATTTAAATAATACAACAAAAACATTAATATACAACCCAGTGTGTCTGAAATGTTAATTTTTTATAGTTTTTTTTATTGTTCAACACACACACACACACACACACACACACACACACACACATATATATATATATATATATATATATATATATATATCAGTCTGTTATGTGCCATGCGTTATATGCGCTTAGGCGATCATGTATCTTTCGATACATGACTGATGAAGCAGATTTTTCTCGCAGTAGGTTGCCATTTCTTTCTG